AAAATCAAGCTTGTTTGTCGAGTATGTTGAATTACTGTGTATTAATTGAAAAGACCTTGGCACGACCTACTCTGATTTAATTTTATATTACGTAGTAAAGGTGATGTTATTCAGGCAGTAAGGGCGTTCCTGATTTTACAGCCGCTGTAATTTATAATTGTTATGAGGCTACCGCATACCTTAATTTTGACGTCAGAACATCTTTCATCTCCAAAGGGCTACAGGCGTTGCCCAGGATAAAAGATATGATACGTAGAATGTACCTCTTTTGTTTACGCAGGCTTCTGTCTTTGTCATGTTTCGTTATTGTCTTTACTTTGACCTAGACGTGTGATGTATGAAATATGGCACATGATTGTTACGTGATTTGTAAATGTCGTCAGGTCGTACGGCTTGGTATAATTACTCTGGATTTCGCCCAAGGAATCTGTTTTGTACGTAATCCACCAAAGGAATGTTTATTTGGCAGATGAAAATTCAGGACACGCAGAAACTGAATTGAAAACTACAACAATGTAATAACAGAACTAAAGAAGAAAATTGCTGAATTTCATTCCTATCAACATAAACTGGATCGAACATTCAAAGCGGTAATTAAAAACTTACATCACTCAGCGGATAAAGAAGAACTGTTAGAGGAAATTCGCACGCATGGACATGAAGCGATCTGAGTTACCGACGTTTTACACAGAGTCACAAAAGCTCCGTTACCAATGTTCATCGTGGAATTAAAACAAAATCCCATTAACAAGAACATATACAAAATAGAATTCCTCGTGAGAACGAAAATCATAATAGAACCACCACATCAAACACTTGAAATTATGCAATAAAAAAATTGTCAGAGATACGGACATACAAAGCGGTATTGCTACAGAAGACTCCGATGCGTCAAATGCACCGGGGACCATAATACATCTCAGTGTAACAAACAAGCCACAAACAGTGATGTTAAATGTGTTAACTGCCTAGGCAGTCACCCAGCGAACTATAAAGAATGCACAATTCACAAAGAAGTTCAAAAGCGAAAGTTTCCAACGTTAAGACCTAAACAGTACCAAGAAATAAACATGAAAACAAGCATACAACCCCCTTCAGTACAACAGGGACGGTCCTATGCCCAAATCTCCAGAGAAGACACTCAACAAATGCAAAACACGACTCAGCAAACTCTGGCTGAAATCCTACTCGCCCAAGCCATAGATAAAATGGAGCAAATGATGACGGTAGTCGTGGAAAGCATAAACAACATGACAAAAATGATCACAGCCCTCATCACCAAAATAGTACAATGGCCCAGAATCTAAAAATAGTCCACTGGACCGCCAGCGGTCTTGGGAAGCACAGCCCGGAAATAAAATCATTCCTTGTTCATCAAAATATTGACATCCTGCTTGTATCAGACACACTTCACCAGCAAAAGCTTTATGAAAATTCCTCGTTACACTATGTACGATACTACGCATCCTGACGGTACAGCCCATGGAGGCACGCAATCATCATTAAAAGCAAGATTAAACATTATGAGTTAGAGAAATATCAACAAGAACACCTCCAAGCAACAAGCATTGTTGTCGAAGAAAACAGCAGAACAATAACAATCTCAGCTGCATGTTGTCCTCCGAAGCATGTAATTAAAAAGAGCAATTTGAAATATTCTGTCAGACTCTCGAAGCCAGATTCAT